TATGACACACACAGTGTGGCTGAAGTTGCTAGTTCTCCTTGTCAGATGAGCAATACTTCATAAAAGGGAAGTTACAAAATCTTTTTGATGAGTGCAATTAGGCTCCATATTTTTATTCTTCTGTTTTTGCCTGTGATCTGTCACTTTTGATTGAGGCCTGTATTGCTCACTGAGTCACCAGGGAATTTTAGATGATTTTAAGATGACTTCCTTCAATCTTAGTGATTTTAGTTTCTTTTTTTTGGTCCTGAATCCGTTGAATAGTTCTTTATGCTTGCAATCTTGAGACTTCGGATTTTGTCTTTTGTAGTCTGAATTTCAGAAGCCTTTATGAATTTATCGGTGGTTTCATGATGTTCAGCTGTGTCTCTTGCAGGTTATGGTGTCTGCAGCTGCCCTTAGAGGTGACTTGGGTCTGGCCTCTGACAAGTGCTTGGGCTGGATGAAGTGCTTCAGTCAGAGCTTCTTTTGGTTTAGGCAGCAGAGAATGTAGCGTGAAGTTAAAGTTGCTGATTTGCAGTGTGAAATCAAGGTATTTATAGCACAGAACTATTAACGTGAAAACAGAGTCCAAGATTTTCAAAGAGTGTGGTTTGACAAACTCAGACAAGTTTAGTCATGCTCCTGCTTTTGAGGAAGAGGTCCGTAATAAATCTGACACACTTATGTATTATTCTGAAAGTCTGTAAGTGACGGTGGAGATGGTGTTGTGAGTGTCCATGTTGTGCGGCTCGCTGTTGAGGTAGCTCCTCCTGTCAGTAGCTGAGCTATGGTTCTGTGCAGGAAAATCTGTATGTAGCAGTTCCTGTTTGTCTCCCACAATTGCTGCAGAATTTGCTGGTCGTTAGGGTTGCTACCAAACTTGTGGTTTGGCTTTGATAAAATTGTACACGATAAGCACCAGGTGTGGACTCATCCCTGCCCTGATTGTTTTACTTCCTCTGAGCTCATGAGTGATGCCAGGTTTGTCATTGATGCCACCTACAGAATATGAAAATAAAAATTTTTTTAAAAAATCATTCTGATTAGGTAATTCTGCCAACTAAAGCATAGTATACATGATGCTGTGAAGGGTGCAGGTTTGATCATTTAATGACCAGCCTGGTTATGGCATAATACATATCTGCTGTGTTAGAAAACACCCTCCACAAAGGCTCGTGTGGAGCCTCAGAGGTGTAGGGTTTGGAAACCCTAAGGTAGGATGTTGGACTTGTGCAGCTGAGAAACTATTTTTGCTCTTCTTCAGATGTGGACTTTCCTGGGGACCTGTGTGAGTATTTGGGAGCTGTGACTTCACCTTCCATGGACCTTAGTGGTCCTGTTTTCTTAAAGTTCCAGAAGGAGATGGGTGATAAGTAAGAGCGTGTTAAGTCTTTCTTAACCAACCTTACCCAAGGAAGTGAAGAAAATGTTATTTGATGGAAGCGTTTGGTTTGTGCTTAATCATTATCTTAGTGCTATTCATGTCACTGATGCCATCAGAGGCCATTACTTATTGTATTGATCAGATAATTGTACTGAGAATTTTTTATCCTTGTGTGTTTTGCATCACATATAGTCTCATTTTGCTGTGGGTTTGAAAACCCTCTAGGGAAGGTTGGTCTGTTTCTCACAAACCACCTTTGTCCAGCACAAATGAGCCGGTGTTTTTGTCAGGAACTGTGATGGAAATAACCGTGCAGTTGCCTAAATAGCATGCAGACACCACTGAGAACATGTTAAAAAATTTTAACAGCCAGCTTACTTACAGTATTTGATGAAGAATACTAGACCTTAAGGTATGAACTAGGAGCAGCCTTCTGATAGTTACTGAGGTTACTAAAGAGCCAAGAGCCAAGCTCCTTGTGGGGCTGCATGGCAGGAGGATGAGACAGCTCTTGGACAGGGAGCAGGTTCTGACATAATGCAGGAAGGGAAAAAACGCTTGTCGTGAGGATAGTCAGGCATTGATGCCAGGAGCCCAGAAAGGCTGTGGAGCCACCAACCTTAGAGGTTTTCAAGAGCCAACTGAACAGAGCCCTGAGCACCATGGTCTGAATTCGATGCTGACCCTTCTTTGAGCAGGAGGGTGGACTGGAGACCTCCTGAGGTCTGTTCCAGCCCAACCAATTGTGTAAATCTTTCTTCTGATGTGATAAAAATGTGCTGCCTTAAAATACTAGTGTTTTGGATGGAACAGCAAGTTGTTGACTTCTTCAAAGGTACCAGTATGTGCTAAGGGCAGATTTTCAACTTAACAATTAAAAAGCTTTTTAAAAGGATCCAGAATATGTTGTTTCTTTTGTTTGTACTGAAAGATGGTTAACGCTGAAGAGCCGTGTCGTCACGGAAAGAAAAAGCTCATGAATAAAAAATAGGCTTGTTTCACAATGTAAGCCGTTGTTAGTCAAAGGTACTAAGTGGAAATGTGTTATTACTCCTGCACATCTTAGAAGTTAGCAGCTGAGACATGCTTTACGTGAGCAGGTGGAGGTCTGCAAAGCTGCAATAGAACAAATTGGAGACACACCATGGATTGGCATTTAAAACTGAAGTATATCTCAATAAATGACAGGTCATGTGTATGTTGTTGCACAAAGTAAAATTACCTTAATACAGTTGATGTTGGTATCTAGGGAACTGGTGAGCCTTGTTCTCAGGCAGGCCTGAGAATAACTTGATAAACTTTTTTCTCCTCCCCTTTTTTTTTCAGGTTAGTTTATTTCATTGTATATTGTGCTCACTTCTGGGGAATGTACAATTCTGCAACATAGCAAGCAAACATGCAAATCCTTTGGCCCTTACATGAACTTCCCCTTCTGTTTTACTTGTATGTGTGAAGTACAACCTGAATTTCCCTTACAGACATCTACTTTTTCTAATATGAAAGCTCACCCGGTTACTGAAATTCACAAGGGTGACATCTGCAGTAATGTTAACATCAAAATAATCTTGTTTCTGTCATTTTCTGACAAGAGGGAAGTTAGAGATACACAGTTCTGTGCTGTTTGGTGTATTTTGCTTATCAAGACTTTAGGGCCCTTTGTCCATAAGGGAAAAATATAGCAAACTGTTTGCGCTGACATTGTTCTTCACCCAGATCAGGTGCAATTTTCAAACATATGCATGGAGTTCAATTTGTTTACTTGTATTTTTGTGCTGTTTCTTAAGATTACGTACACGTTGCATGTCTGATGAGGGAATGCATCTCTAAACCAGAAGAGTCAAAGATGTTGCTTAAAGCTGTATCTCCTGTTCCCTCTCTCCCTCCAAAAAAATTAGTTATGAGCTCTGGAGTCCTTGGAGCAAGATTCTCCTTCCTCGGGGTTACGTGCATGTCGTGCCACAGCCAGTGGCAAAAGACAGTGGTTTTTACCCGGTATCGTTGGAATCGTCTCTTATGATGAGTGGCCGGGAGCGATCCTTGTCCCTGACACTGTCTTGTTTGCAGTGGTACAGTGTTCTTCTTGAGATGCTGCAGTTTGTTTTCAGATAAACAGAATCATGTCGAGTCAATATCATCTGTGTTGCAGTGCTGTGATTTCCTACCTTTAGCATACAACTCACAGCATGTTTATATAGTGGGTGTCATAAACGATTTCAGACATTGCAGGTGAATCATAACGCTGCCTGGCCACCTAATATTTGCTCAGCGACAGGGCTGTTGGGTTGGGTTTATTTTTTTGGCCAAACAGGTTGGTAAGTGATGGTGAAGCCATGGTCCCTTGAAACCACTTGTGGTAATACTGTGCTTGCACCTGGAGCCTCCTGTCATTTGGCTCCATATGTAATGGCACCACACAGTGATGAGAGGGGACGGGTTTTGGGCACAGGCATGGAGGTCTGCTCTGGCTACGAGATCATGAGTGCATTTTGCAGTCAGTGGCAGAGCCAGTTACCTCAAAATTTGAGCAATGAACTGAGAGCAGCCCTCTGTGCAAAACCAACCCGTTGTACTCTCTGCCGTGGGCATTCGTAGAACCATCACAGAATCCTAGACTGGCCTAGGCTGGAAGGGACCTTAGAGATCATTTAATCCAACCTCCCTGTCATGGGCAGGGACGCCTCTCAACTAGATCAGGCAACACACGGGGACCGAAAGGGGATCGAACCTGCAACCTTTGTGTTATCAGCACCGTGCTCAACCGACTGAGCTAACCGGAAAGTTTTTGTTTTTTTTTTTTCCTCTTGCTACAAGTAATTTTTCAGCCTATGTTGCAGGAATTGAAAACTCATTTCATTTAAATGGATTGTACTTGCACAACAGGGAGCTGCAAAAGGAATCTGCCTGCCCACCAGTTTGAGTCTAAGCCAGTGCAGTAAAATGGGAGAATGTGGATAACCCGATGCAGTGTTTGGGGACTGGGGCTGTTTGTGGTGGGGTTTTGTAGAAGGTGGATGATGTGAGCTCAGATTTTGGCCTAGTAACTGTATACTTTGGATTTTGGTATCATGGGTGAGGATTTCAGTTCTACAGCACTGCAAGGCTCCTAGTCCTCATGTACATCAGCTTGTGCTTTCTTTTTATTAGCCCTTCTCTGTGTAGCTGAAAGTTTCAGCTAACCTGCTCCTTCTTTGGCTTTTTTTCCCATGTTTTGTTGTGTGTTTTTTGAAGGTTGTGGCAAATATTCCCGTAGAAGGGAAAAGAAATTACACTTTTTTTTTTTTCTGGTTTTCCTTCTGTTCAGAAGTGCCAGCATTTTGATTTTTTTTTTTGTGTACTTGACCTTGATATTACTGCAGTTTTTCCTGTTCAATTGGATGCTGTACTTACAGTGGAAAGGTTTCAGAAGCGGAGGAGTTGGGTGTAACACCAGGGCGGCTGGCTGAGCGATGCCTTTCGCTCCCCGCAAAGCTGCTCTGAATTACACTGGCCAAACTGCAGTCGTGCTGTACTAAGCCTGAGCTAATTTTATGTTTTTCTCTATAAAACTAACTCACTTTGCCTGGGATGAAAAGCAGAATATTAAAAAAAGATTACTGTATAACATGTTCCAGCACTTCAGTTGGGCTGAAACGAGGAAGTACCTCAGATCTCCCGAGAGGCCCATTTTTGGCAGATTTCCACTCTAGAGAGGTTTGGACTTGAATACAGGTGTCTGGAGACTTTAATTGACTGAGTGCTTTTTCTCAGGTTCCCTACTCCCTATCCTCCGTCGTTTCAGCCTCGGTTGTGCGTAGTGGTGCCGAACAGCTGTGTTTACCTTCCTGCTGTGTCCGTGTGTGTGCACCGTGTCAGCGGTTAGGAAAAACGGCACGTAATGGGTTTGCTGTTGGTCCAATTAATTCATCAATAAAATATAATCTGCACCATGGCGGGGGAGAAGAGGAAAACCTGCCTTTCTTAAACAAATCTTGCTATTTCCTCTCCATCCACACAAGTAGTAATTAAAGAAAGGCAGAGCCCTTTAAAACACAAGTGCTACACGAGGGTGTATTTTACCCGCCCGTGAAGCATAACAAGTTATGGAAGGCAGGGCCATTACTTGCAATAGGGAATTAACTCCTACGGATGTGTTTACCGCCTCACCAAGTCTTATTTCGTGCCCTCCTTAACGAGAGTGTTTCACGTCGAATTGTCCGGCTTTTTCATTGCTGTGTTCCTGTTTGCAGGCTGAAGCGAGGCTCGCGGCGAAACGAGCAGCGCGGGCAGAGGCACGGGAGATCCGGATGAAGGAACTGGAGAGGCAGCAGAAGGAGGTACGGTCAAGGCTTTTGGGGAGTGTGTTTTGATCATCTGCTTTCCTGAATATAACCGAGATCTTGGAACAAAGTATTGATCTGTATTTTGCTGAAACGGTAATAATTTGCTTGGAGGTAGTGTTGGTCACAGAATAGCAAATAAAATAGCCTGGAAAAAATATGGATTGCGGCAAGAATTTTATCTTGGTGAAACCAGTCTAATTATTCACAGAAAATACTGGTGGTTAGTGAGTAATCATTGTTTAATATTAAACTTTGAAATATGCAGCTTGTTTGTGTGTGCATTGGGGGGGTGGATTCTTATCACTTTGTGGGAGATCTAATGAATGTGGAAGACTCCTGGCTTTTGTATAACTCTGTCTGTTATTTTTGCTCTGTTGCTGTGAAGCTTGGCATTGTGGTCTCCATCGTTTTGTAAAAATGAAGGTCTGCTGTTGGCAGAAGTAATGACAGAAACCGAACTTAGCAAAACGTTGCCTTTTCCAAGGTGTTTGGATTAAATGACTGGTGTAGTCTCTTCCAAATTCTGGAAGAGCTGGTTGTTTAGTTCCGCTGGCAAACTTACCGTGCCTCTGCTTGTCAGTGTGCGGGAGGTCGTGGGCCTCCAGTGCAGGAATGATCTTAAACACCATTTTGGTAGCGTCCTACTCCTGCTGTGTTTGGCAAGTGGGAGCTGTACTAAATGTCACTCCGCTTCAGGAAACTGAAAACGGGTGTTTATTTTGAAGGTTAGAAGCTAAATGTGAAGCTAAACCAGCACTGTTGGAGTGGGGCTGCAAGCATGGGTTGGCACAGATGGACGGAACCAGAATCCGTGTTGATGTGTGTGCAGAGTAAACGTAACAGGGCCCACAATACTCATAATTCAGCTTTTTCAAATAGATTTTGAAGGAAAGGGAATAAGTAAGGAGTTTGGGGGCAGAGTGTGGGAATGTGTAGTAAGAATAAATGTACACCTGTGCTTTAGGGTGCAGAGAAGGATTCAGCTGAGCTTTTATACAGTGAAATTTATGTGATAACAGGCTAGTGTTGATGCAGCCTGCAAAAGAAGCACTTGGGGCAGTTTGCCCGTGCTCAGCTTTGCACTGGAGCATCTTGTCTAGTTGAGGCATGTCTGGATGTGTCTTAACAGCCTGTAGCCGTGGCAGGCTGAGATGTACCTGCAAACGCACCAGGAGTAAGAGCTGCAGGGGAGCGTTGTGGCAAGCACAGTGCTTGCAGAAGAGAGGAGCCTTTTTCTGCTAGAGCTGCTGCTTTTTGAAGGATGTTCTTTGCCTGGATCACGGTCAGAAGGCCTCGACTGCAGATAAGTGTTGGTACTGTCAAGCCGCCTGCTGTGCCTACAGCCTGAGCGATGGGACGTGCCGCCGAGCAGCCTTTGGAAGGTCATGGTAAACAACACTGGGTGTTTTGTTTGGGCAGCAGAGTAAATATGGGTGTCATGGCACCTGACAGTGGTGTCACCATCTAATTTGCAGATAGCTTTAATGGAGCTGATGACCCCTCTGGAGGATTAAAAGCTAATGGTGCAAAGGGTGTGCTAGTAAATTGAAATTTTGGTGTGAAAACTAAAGCTTGCGTGTGTGATCCTGCAGTTAATAACTGAAGAGCTAGAGATCTGAAAATCTGTTGGAAACTTCTTTATACAAGTAGAAATCGAATAGTACAGGATGCTGCTCTGAAATATCAAATTCAGGGAAAGCTAAGCCAGATAGCCACTACAATCGGTTTTGTAGTTCACTGGCATAAATAATGTAATGTGACTACACATTTATTTTGTAAACTTTTATACTCTGTAAAGTTTTGAAACAGCTTAATCTCAGCCCACAGATGCAAGGTAGAGCTAGTGTAAGGATGGCTGCAGGAAGTTTTCCATTGCTACGAGTGTCTTGCAGATACAATAAAAGAAAAGATAAATATAGAAAATTCTAAGCAGCAATCAGCACAAGAGAATTGACACCTACCCCTTCCTTAGAGGAGAACGCGCTGTGTTACTGGTGTCTGTACAGCTTGTTATCTGCCATCTTCGTTTTCTTTCACAAACTTTTCAGAGAAATAAATAGCACATTCCCACTAATACCGTGTTGAAAAACCAGAACTTAAAGCACTTGTTTTACTATTTCAGAAGGCTTTTCAGAGCCAGTTATGGGAAGTTAAAAAGCAATAAATAAATTTATTGCACGTGTGTATACTTGTTCATGCTTAAAGTGGTGTGCAAGCCCTTACAGGCTTCTTGTGGAGCATGGATTATTTAAGAGTATATTTACATTGTTGGTCTGAGTTAAAAGATTTCAGATGCTGCCATTACAAGCAATAACCATGGCAGTATAGCTCTCGTTGGAAGTAAAACAAGGTGTTTAATGATTTGGATTTGGAGTGGAAATTGGCTCCTCTCGTTCTCAACTTTGAGTATTAATGGCATTTGTTAATCCTGTGCTTCCATCTTTCTTGTTTAAGAAATAATTGTGTGACTTCTGCATCATGGGTCTACATACACAAAACATTTAGCTAGTGTTTTGCTTGCCGTTACGAAAGAAATATCACCAGGTACCTGGGGGTTTTATTCTCGTAGGAATGTTTCTGTAGGTAGAATGAGCAGCAGCTTCATTAGAAACCCTGTGCTGGTTCTGGAAGCCACCCATACATGAAGAATTGCACCAAAGATTAGTCACAGCTGTGTAGTAAAGCTGCCAGGTAAATGGTAAAGACTACACAGTATCATACGGAGTTCTTCTTCTGGCAGGAATCATACCATGTAAACCACAAAATTGTCAGCA